GATCTAAACCATTCTAATAATCTAACAACTCAAGATATGACACGTCAATTATTTAATTCTGACATCCATCTACATAATTAGAGTTTTTATCAAAAATAGCCAAAATCCACCTAAATAGACTTAAATGCTCTCAAAACTAAAACCCACATAAAACCGCTACTATTTTATTTTAGATATTTTTTTCTAGATGAATTCGATAAACATTAGGAAAAGGAAATCGCACGAGTGGGTTCGATCTCCGTACAGAGCAGTGATCACATTCAATACACACTTTTATATTCAAGTCAAAGTAGCCAACAGAATAAAACACATGAAAGTAACTTTTTTGGATCCCACATCAATCTTTCTAAGTCCAATGAATAATAAGGGCTGGTTTGGTTTGGAAATGTCTCTATCACAACAAATTTTTCAAGTCTGTTTAAGTCCAATTGAATAATAAGACTTCGCTTGATGTGTTGTACTCCTTCCTACAAGCGTTAGGGAGTAGTCAAAATATTTACATATTGCTTTCTCGTCGCTTTACTCTGCTAGTTTGGCCAAACAAGAGGAGGTTCTTGCGGGTGCTATATCGAGGTGTCATTCATGAGGTATTATGAGTTTAGATTTGCATTGTTGATTCCCAAGTCCATCTTAGTTGTGGTTTTTGGGTTTATGTGGGTTTTAGTTTTAAGGGTATTTAAGTCTTTTTGGATGAGTTTTTGGCTATTTTTGAAAGTTTTTATAAAAACTGACATTTATAAAAGTATAGGGTAAATTTTTACTTTTTTTATTATAAAAACTCATATAATTAACTCCAACTTAACACCGTTAAGTCTACATAAATTAAAATATAAAAAATAATAATAATAAAGAAAAAAACATAAACCTATCATCAGCCACCCCATGACACACCTCACGGCAACCTCATTCCCTCCTCACAAAGTCACAGCCAACCTCCTCTCTCTCTCTCTCTCTCTCTCTCTCTCTCTCTCAATGACTGAGCTACTATGATGACATGTTAATCCTTGCTAAATGTCGATGCTGCCTTTGTTTTTTTCTTTCTTTTTTTAATGGCAGTCGGGGTCGGGTATTTAACTATAATGCAAAGATAAACCTACGATAAGAAAAAAAAATCATAGCTACTATAATGCACATTCATTGAAAAGAGGGAGAGATTTGTGGACGGTGGAGCGGAATCAAGGGTGGGATAGGATGGCAGTCATGAGGTCGGGTAAGTAAGATGGATGTTATGTTTTTAATTTTTTTTCTTTAATGTTTTGTTTTAATTTTCTTTAATAATTCTTTTAAACTTAACTGTGTTAAGTTGGAGCTAATTAAATAGATACATGTCAAAAGTTAAAAATTGGTGTGTCATATCAAGGAGAAATTATAGAATGGTACGGTATCACCATGTCAGCGGGTGATACTTCCACTCATATATTGACATGTGTCATCTCTCTCTCTCTCTCTCTCTCTCTCTCTCTCTCTCTGAATCACTTTATTTAATAGTTGGCGTTTATTGGATCATCTCTTGTCAAGGCCATGCGGGATTGAGAGCAAAGTTGGATAAAGAGAACTTGGATCTGGAGTTTTTGAGGGAGATGAAGACAACCTAGATGAGGAGATTGAAGGATTGGGGAAAGGAATAAAAATAGGGAGGGAGGGCGCTGCAGAGGGGGACTGTGAACTGGACGGAGTTGGGAGGGGCGACGCGGCTGAGGGGGCTGCGAACTAGACAGAGGTGGGAGGCTCTGTGACACAGTTTTTTTTCTCTTTTAATTTTTATGAAGGGTAAAATTGGAACCCAATGTCTAGCTGAAAAAAAAGTATAAATTTTCTTTTAAAAAATACACGTGGCAAATTCTAAATGGAAGTATCACCCGCTGACGTGGTGATACCGTACTATTCTATAATTTCTCCATATCAAGAGTCGTCAAATTGTTAGAACGGTTCAGATCTTGCGAAATGTGGGTCAATGCACAGTCACTAAATGTAGAGACTCGGGATCCGTGTGAGAAATCCTCCTCCCTTATAATTTAGACTATCACTTATACTCCAAATATATATATATAAATTAAATAAAGTGAAAAACTTTGAATTAAAAAAAAAAAAAAAAGATTTCTCTACCGTCACACCTCATGAGCCCTCCCAACTCATGGGGAGGAGAAATTAGTGGGGGAGTGAGGGATAGGATGGGTTTCAAGCCTGGGAAGGATAGGAGATTATAGATTTGTGGTGTTTGTTAGCTTGCTAGGTATGGGTGGCCCAATAGGGCTTGCGCGCGGCGATTTCAACGAGCTTATAATTGAGGTAAGAACTAAAAGGATAAGATAGGCGTTTACAGCGAAGAAGGTATGAATGTTTGCAATGGCTTAACTTGAGGAGCTTAAGATGGTGGAGCTCAAGAGGTCACAATGTATGTGTTTTTTTATTTTTATTTTTAACGATTAAAGTAGCTAAAAAAACAAGTTGAGGACTAACTCATGGAATAGTTCCGAGACTATTGGTCCAAATTAGTCTTTAACTAATGTGATTTGAACTACTTAATTCACACATAAACTAAAAGTTGAGTTAATAGACTAACTTGTAACTCTATGATAACTTCATGAATCATTACTCCAAATTAACCAAAACTAAGCCATCTTTCGGGTCACTATGCATTGATATATAGATGCTCTCTTGCATAGAGGTTTATAATTATACAGGTTTATTTGATAATGTGGCTCTACATGTAATACTACCCAACTAAAGGTTTGCTTGTGTGAGCCTTCCATGGCTTTTATGAGAACCTTTCATGGCTTCTTAAGTAAAGATCTCTTAACATTGGAGCTTTTGCTAGTTATATGCCCTTATATTGTGCATGTTGAACGTTGTGGATATTTGAGTTGCTTGTGTACAGGTGAAAAAGTTTGGGAAACGAGCTTTTTATAAGGGAGACTCTGCCGAATTTTCGGCAGAAGTCAAAACCCTAAAGAAATTTTGTAGTTTTAGTTAGAATGGCAATTTAATCAAGTGTGCCCAGCACCTGCCAGGTGTCGGACATGCACAAGGTTCGGCTTAGATTCCAAAGTGAAATTTGGGTGGGGTCCTGTCATCCAATATATGAGCTCAAATTATAAAAACAAAACAAAAAAAATCTCACATGAAATGGACTTTAGAAACACACCCAAAACCCATTTACAACATAACAAGGAGGCTTCGAACTTTCTATAAATTACAAAACTGCCATCAATTTCTTAAAACAAGCCCAATCCCAAAACCTCATTAAAAAAAACTCAAAACACTCAATAAGGCATCAAAGTAATTTAATAGGGTCAACTTTTATTTTTTGGGTTTGTTTTTAGAAATTAAATGGTATAGGGTTTATCTATATCACTACTGCTAAGAATGAGTATATAACTTAATATCTATAGTTTTTTCGTTGCCCATGTAGCTTCTTCCTTTAACACTAATCTAACATGAGGTGGAATGAGCCACAATTCATTGCGAATTTCGTCAACAAAGTGGTTTGGGAATTGCATATATGTAGCTTCTTCCTCTCACACTGATAAATTGATAACAAGATGAAATCGAATAAATTGGTTGACAAATTCCCTAAAAACGAGAAGAAATCACGTGAACAGTAACAGTTATGAACCCTAACCCAATCGCCCATAAGCAAGGTCTAGAATATCGTTGGTATCGGAAATATCGGAAGTCCAAAAACACGGAAATATCGGGATATTATCGATATCGGTAAAAATTGAATAAAAACCAAGGAAATTGTAAGAAAAACTTGGAAATTTTTATTGAAACTTTGCAGGATGTTTATTTAGTCAATTATCTATTAGTTTATCACAAAAAATTGGAAGAAAATGAATTGCATGATGGATTTAAGTTGATTATATAGCGAGCTGGCAAACACTGTAAGTGTAGAAAATATATAGTAATTAATGAAAGAAGATTAAACACACCATAATCATTTATATATATTGAATTACTACAATATTTTACACTTTATACATTGTATGGTAAGATACATGAGTGACTTAGTAACACATAGAGTTCCTATGAGATTCAAAATTTTCACTATCTTCATCATCTCTATGTGTAGAGTAAATATATTTTGAAGAGTAGTCATCAAATGATAAATCCCCAAAATAATTTTGCATGTAATTGTTAACATGCCACCCATATGGATCCAAGATTGGTTGACGTTGTCCATAAGCAAAATCATTTGAAG